AAATGAAGGGTGTAATGAGGTTGAGCCTCATCTTCATCTAATAAAGACCTTAGGGTTTGGAACTTAAACTCCGAAAGCTTGAAATTCAACTTTTGTGGAAGATATCTTGTAGGAGGGAATGGCTTACGCCACCCACTTCGAAAGACAGAGATACGTCGGTCTCGTTAAACAGTACAGATACGTAGAAACCAGCTTTCTGTCTCACACAGGATGTATGTGACTTGGGAGCACTATACTGTAATTTTTTAGATTCGCACAATGCATACAAATGTACCTTCATGTAATGGCCAAGTGTAGCCAATTACAGTCGAGCAGAGTTGGAAAGAGGAAAAACTTGATGTGGTGGGCTGTCAATTTGCCGTTTGCGTCGTGTTTATTACTCTGCATAGTCAAGCATAAGACGACGCTCCAACCAAATATCCGCTAGACTGAAGCTGGCTAAGCTCTGGCTGCAGCGGGGTTACCATAGCTTTTTGCTTGAAGAAACCTCAGCTAAGATCACCGATCTAACCATACGTAATATCCAAGAGCCAGTACGAGTGCGGCGGATCACAATCCGCTGCCTCCAAGAGTACCAAAAACCTTAAACAAGGTAAAGGGACTCTTCCGTATAAAATTGAAACTGTATTTAATTGTGGCAGAGTCGCCGACATCCGAAACCCTTGATTTTCCTAATTAATATAGTAATACCTGATTAATATAACAAAACTTTTTTAATACAGTAATATGCATTAATACTAGCAATCCTGCCACGTGGTGGCTTCTTGTTACGGTCTATCTACACCACTGTGTGATTACACCAAATCGTGTAATCCACACCATGTACGGTCGCATCATCGTGTGCGACATACTCTTTCATACAAGGGTACGTGTAACCCCGTTCAACTGGCGAGTTAAGACTCAAAACGGGTTAGGTGGCTTAGTTTTCTCACAGAGTGCGCCAATTCAGTCTGATACTCAATGACACTTTCGCTAGCTTTAGGTATTTCAAAACTACAACCGCTGCTGTTCAAGTTGCAAACGATTTTCCTGGGGAGTGGCTGCCTGCAATACTCCTATTTGCCCCAGGGCATGTAGGACGGGCTAAATAAGCTGATGTTCCTCTTGGGCCCTGAGGGCATGGAACACCTCGTTGCGCAAGGGCCTAAGGCCATAAGTGCGCGTCTAGAGACGTTTATTAGTTGTAAAAATGCTCTGTAAGAGCACTTACAGCAGATGCTGTCAGCGTTGACTGCGTTTATGACGCCACCGCCGACGACGAAGGATTCCTTTCGACCCAAGCCGCTCATGGCGAGCGTTAAGACCTTTCAGGGTAAGGATGGAGAGAATCTCCTGCTCTTGGGCAGAAATGGCCGAGATGGTTATGGCAGCCATGCTCTAAAACGAGCAACAGCACGTGGCGCTAGCTATCTCCAAGCTTGGAGGCCGAGCGCGAGAATGGGCACTAACGCGCGGTGCTTCGGATGAAGCGGCGCCCCCCCCCCTAACGAAGCTGAAGTGTCAGCTTCTACGAGCGTTCTCGCCACCTAATCAGGTATATCGCGCGAGATCGCAATTCCTTGCTGGCCGACAAGGCTAGAAGGATGGTGGACTTTGTCCAAGAGTTGAGAACTCTTATTGCCGGGATGAAAGCAGAGCCTCTCACCAAGGCGGTCGACAGACCTTTTGGAGGGACTCCGCACTGGCGTGATTAAAACGGATGTCTTCCGTGTGCATCCGTCTTCTTTTAAAGAAGCGGTGGACACGGCATTGAAAGCCGATTTCGACTTCAAGTCGGCACGACTTGGTTGGAATGCACACCCTCAGACCTCGTTAAGCGAGTCTGAGCCAATGGATCTCAGCTATGTTGAGAAGGAGAAGGAAGAGCTCCGAGCTGCTGGGGAGCGTGTAATCACCCGACGGTGTTTTGTTTGTGGAGACACCCGTCACCTTCGGACGGATTTCCCTTTCGCAAGGCGCGTAAAGGTTTGACGAAGCGACGTTTCGCTTCTAGTTAATCTGGTTCGACGTGGGTAAACGATAGAAATCAGTAGGCGCGGGGCGCACAACGGGGAAAAAACTAAGTTCTGTTGAGTCTCAAAGATGTAGAGGTCAGCAGGGCCCAGCCCTGAAGAGTTCCGTGCTCTTCAACATGGAACGTGTGTACAAGCCGTACTTGCTGGTCGTAGACGCGACAGTGAAGGGCCTTGAGAAGCCGTGGAAATCGTTATCGACTCTGGTGCGTCGGGCAATTATGCTCGATGCTCCACAATCGAAGGAAGTCAGCTATATGCTGGAGCGCTGGAAGCGCGGTTGAGTAACAACGTCACTGTTCGCTTATCGACGGAAACGTGTTGAGGGTTCCTGTGAAGCTCGGCGTCAAGTTTCTTGACTTTGATAGCGTGGAACGCTGTCTCGTCTTAGAATTGAATGCAAATTATGACCTTTTTCTTGGAATGGCATGGTTGAACCACCATGAGCCATGGATTGAGTGGTGGCTAAAGACCTTGAGCGCTACGCACACGTCTCCTTGTGGAACTTTGGGTGAGTCATGAACCTACCTCTGCTAGGAAGCAGAAGCGCTTTTGGCACGAGCACTAGACCGGTTATCCTTCAGTTGAGGAATTTCAAGACGTCATCTCCAAATATCCGCTGTCGGTCCTACCCACGGACCGAGGTGTGAGTCATGAGGCTGACCTGGTTCTGGGAACTAAATACTGCGTAGCACGCCAATGGCCCCTGTCCAAAGAGATGTGTGCGGTCTTTTCCGTGCGGAGCACAAGCCAGGAATGGTGCGCGAGAGCAAGTCTCCCCATTCGACACCAACGTTTTGTGTCCGGAAGCCGAGTGGCATGTGGCATAATGTTCACGCTTATAATAAGCTAAACGCTGCCACCATTCCGGCACAAACGCCAATTTCTAGAAAGGATGATTTTCAGAACAATATGGTTGGCTGTACAAAGCACAGCGCACTTGACTTGGTCGATGGTTATTATCGATTGCTCATGAGAGCGAGGGATATTCCGCTAACAGCGGCGAGGACTCCGAGCGGGATGCTCTGGGAGTGGCTGGTGATACCCTAAGAACTGTCAAATGCACAAGCAACATTAAATCGTTTTGTGACGCAATTGTTTAGGCCCCATCGGGCGTATGCACAGACATACTTCGACGGCTTCATCGTCCACAATTGGGCAGGGTACGGGAGAACGATGAAAAGAATCACAATCGTCCATTTAGGAGCAATGCTCGAGTGCATGCGCACGAATAAGCTTTACGCTAATGCCGATAAGTGCATTTTTGGCGCTGAAGAAATCCTTTCTCTAGGTGTGCTTCATTGGGAAGTTTGGCCTTCGGGCGGATTCCGTTAAGGTCAAGGCCATTGAGGACATGCCGGCTCCAAAGAACCCAATGGACTTGCGCAAGTGGCTTGGTCTTGCCGACTACTTGCACAAGTATAGCGCAAATTATGCGAAAATGGCTCAGCCGTTGTCCAATCACCTTAAAAAGAATACAGAATGGTGTTAGGACACCGAGTATCGGGTGGCTTTTAACAGGGTCAAAGACAGCCTCCTACATGCACCAATACTGGCGTTACCAGATCGTTCATTTAGTGCCGTCTGTGACGTTTCGGACTTTGTCATCGAGTGTGCACTGCTACAAGCAAGCACCAACGGGCGATATCGGGTGATCGCGTTCGAATACCACCAGCTTAAGGCTGCGTACCCAATCCACAACAAGGCGATGAAGTATGCACTTGCCAAGTTCAGGGTGCACCTGCTGAGCTTAAAGCCGTCTGCGATCAACACAGATCATTCGTCACTACGCACTGCGACTCAGTTGCCTCCCCTCTCGCAGAGTGGCTCTCCTTTTTCGCAGAATATAACTGCAATGCGAAAAATATTCTGCCAGGAAAGCAAAATGCTTTGGTTGATGCGTTGTCACGAAGACCGGACTATAAGCTTGCTCAGGCAACACGGGTGTGGTTATTTTGTGGACTGTTTGAGCTAGATGGATCATCTTGCAGCAGTGCCGATCGCCATCAGCGGTGTGGGTACAACAATGCAATTTGTCGATCGTGTCGTTTGATAACATGGACTTCAGAAGTAAACTGTCTCTGATAGAGACCCGCACTTCACTGGGAAGTTTTGTTCTACACTCTTCAGGGAGCTGATCGCCAAGTTGACTATGTCAACAGCGGGCCATCCGCAGACCGATGATCATACTGAAGCATGAATCGCGTCGTCGAAGACGTTCTTCGTAGCGTCTGCGCTGAGACGCCGAAGCGCTGAAGGGTCATGCTGTCACTCAAAGAGTTTGTTCTGAACAATGCAGTGCATTCGTCTACCAAACAAACGCCGCTTTACGTAAAGAGCTCATTAATCCTCGCGCCCCGCTCACGCCGCCATCTCATGGCTCAAGTCTTGGCGGGGGAGGAATAGCCGAATGGCTGGCTGATGTCAGCCCCCTCACCGTGCGTAAACAAGTCGGAGTACTCGACTAAGTATGTTCGTGATGCGATGGCTGAAATTCAAGACACGCAGAAGGAATATGCAGACGGAAGAGAAAGAAGAAATGGTGAAAACAAAGAGGTCGGAGTCCTGGACTTATTAAATGCTAAAAACCTTCCTACCCATGCTTTTTTTTCTGCTGTCTTTAACACGAAGCTCCGTCCACGGATTATTGTATATTTTTAAGTCGTGGCCAAGCGAGACCTGGAGTATACACTGAACCTTCCGAGAAGGATGCGCACCAACCCAGTGTTTTATGTGGGCTTGCTTATGCCGAACCGAGATCCGGCACGAGTAAACGCGCTCTGTTTTGAAATTGGGAGGCTAAAAATTATTTGCGTGCTTTTCAAGAATAATCTTTTTTACAGTACATCATATACCGACATAATTTTGCGCGTCAGATCGCACGAATTTACAATCTTGCAAGATGTGACTCGCTTGATGGAGCAGGTATCGAAGACGTAGTTTGTATCCCCAGCTGCTTTGTCATCCTCGTATCAGCACCAGATAACTATGGTTGACACCTCCTTGTCCGTCCCCCCTACGACTATCGACGCCATCGCTGCATCTGTTAAAGCCCTCTCCACTTCCTTTCATAGCGGCGCCACACGCGATGTGAAGACTCGTTTAAAGCAACTCAAGCAGCTGCGACGTATGGTGAATGAGAACGTGCAAGAGTTGCAGGATGCACTATACCAAGACCTACGCAAGCCACCAGCGGAGACACTTATCGCCGAGCTGGCACCCGTCCGAGGTGAGATTTCGCTTCATGAGGAGGAACTAGAGAACTGGGCAGCACCCGAGCGTGTTTGGACCAATGTAGCCAATTTTCCTGGCCACTCTTGTATCCTGCGCGAGCCTCTCGGTGTCATATGTGTGATCTCAACGTGGAATTGCCCCATACAACTCTCGCTCATGCCACTAGTTGGTGCACTCAGTGCCGGCAATTGTGTACTATTGAGATTACCACCCGATGACACATGTGTGCATACTTCCAAGCTATTATTTAAACTTGTTTTAAAGTATATGGACTCACGCTTCGTACGCGCGGTTCATGGTGGCATATTGGTCACGCAAGTTACACTTCAGCAGAAGTTTGACCTGATATTTTGCACAGGTGCTGCGACGACAGGCAAAATCGTGGCGACTGCTGCGGCTACGACACTGACGCCCACTATCCTAGTGCTCGGCGGTAAGTCTCCCACTATCGTGGACGAGACGTGTGATATTGTCGTAGCAGCACGACGCATTACATGGGCAGCATTTATGAATGCCGGACAAATGTTTCTTCGTCCAGACTATATCCTTGTGAGTGCTAAGGTTGGCGATTTACTAATTTCTGCATTATGTAAGGAAATCACGGCATTCTTTGGCGATGATCCACAAAAAAGTGCATCATTTGGGCGGCTTTTAACACAAAAGTGCTTTGATCGTGTCGCTACGATCTTAAAGCAGGATGCAAAGTACGTTGTTATAGGAAACGAGAAAGACCGAGAAGATTGTTTTGTGGCACCAACTGTACTGAATTTCAAAAAGGATTTAAATGCCTTTGCGTCTAGTGGGGTTATGCGTGAGGAAGTGTTTGGTCCTATCCTGCCTGTGGTTTACTATGATACACTGGATGAGGTAGTTGCTTTTGTCAAAGAAAGAGAAAGATCGCTTGCACTCTACTTGTACTCGTTGGATCGCAAAACCCGTGCTCGTTTCTTGACCGAAACGTGTTCTGGTAGTGTCTGTGTAAATGATAGTATGGTACAATCATCGAATTTAAATCTACCGTTTGGTGGAGTTGGAGCGTCGGGTATAGGCTCCTACCACGGCAAATACTCTTTTGATGCTTTCTCGCACAAAAAGAGCGTTTTGACCAAGTACACGATGATGGATTTACCTCATCGGTATATGCCGTACAACAAGTCTAAAACGAAAATGATGTTGCTGCTGCTGAAGCCATTGCCTAGCACGCTCATTGCAATCGTGGCGTACGCCTTCATCTCGTTGGGCTTCGTCATCATGGGATTGGGATTGCAATATTTTCGGGGTCAGGCTATCATCGACGAGTAAAAATGTTTATGAATGAGCTTCTCTAAAGGTTTTCTGATAACATTTTTCAAAGTATCACAATAATTCAGGGATACGACTTAATCCCCATGATTGATATTTCCAATTTTGTCGTTAATACCAAATCTTTAAATAATTATTGCATGTGCTGCGTTCGCATATTTTTTCTGACTCATGATCCATTTCGTCCGCGACCATCGGGGACATCACGAGGTCACACCTTCCTTTCACCGCCAAATTAAAGGTCTCAAGCTTTCATTGTGGTTAGTGGGCTTCATACTTGTATTCGATGTTTGTTTTGCCGACGGTAAAGAAATATTTTTTCCATTGCTGCAATTTTTTGGATCATATCCGGATCGCTTCATGGTATATTATAAGCCTAAAATTACGGCGTTGGTGGCTCAAGCTTACTATGCTTTTAAGAAAATTGATGATTCCGAACAAGTGACTGCTGCCTGGAATTTTACTGTAGCATTAGTTACGCTGGTGTGTGTGCATCACGTTGCTGACACAATTAGAAAGTCCGTCGCGAGTCGACTGAGAACTGTAGTAGCGTTAGAATCCAATCTTTGATCGATCGATCAAACCGCAAATTTCAAGTTTTCATTTTGAACGAAATGTATTTGCAATAATTAAGTATCAATGGCTCAGGCCTAGACCAGGCCAAACCTGTGCAAATTGTACTATACATCCTTTGAAGCACTTATTTGTAATGCCAAGCGTGTGCGTAATGGAGATATCTTTTGTAAGCTGCTCGTTTCCTTAAGTAATGAACAGAACAGAATGTAATTATCAGAGTGCGTTTCCACTATTAGTACTTACCTGCTCATCGAGCAACACTTTTGCTTTGTGTGGACTATTCTCCATGGCAATATCAACTTCAGTTTTCGGTCGCTTGATCGCCTGCTCCACCTTAGCAACACCACATAGTACATATCAAGTCACCATATCAGTACTAACTCAGCATATTTAAAAACACGCAATTATTTGTACAATTGCAATCGTCTCAGTTGTTTGACTCATGGCTTGCGAAAGCTTGGCGTTTGTAACCGCGATTGAAGACGCCGTCTATAGCGACTCTTAAAGTCATTGAGATCTATGTTACATTATAATAAGCTGTCAAACCTTCACGTATGCTGCCTTCAGCGATTCAACCTCCTCTTCTGTTAGCTCAGCATTTATATCCGCGGTCAGCTCCGGCTCACTACAGCAAAAGCATATCTTTTAAGTCAATTTTATCATTTGACTGATTTCAGCAACTTATCGCACGCAACGAGAACATTCACGTGACGCTTGCGTGCCTTTGCCAGCTCCCGACGAGCATTAGCTGCTGCCATCTTCGGCACCTGTAATAATCGTCATTTTAGCTGTAAAACGCATTAGAACAATGAATTCAATTTCGTACTCGTTCCCGAAGTTTTTTCACAGCTGCTTCTTTTTCTTTGAGCTTTGTCTCCAACTCTTGGAGCTTGGCCGCCATCTTTTTGTCTAAAGGAGCCATCTCCTCTACAAAGTAACAAATCCGTCAGCGATGACAAATCGCTACCTATTTATAAAAGCCCTTAATACCTTTGTCTTCCGGATTGTACTTCCTGAGTGCGGCTGCAAACACAGTTGCGCACAAGTCGTTGACATGTGCCCGGAAGATCTGCTGCTGGGCAGCAGAAACCGACCCACACTCTTTCAACGCTGCTGCATTCATCTTCTCACCACACACGCGCTGGGCCTCCTTGATCTCTAGATATGAGTAACGAGGCGCCAACTTCCCATCAGAAGGCACAACATTTGCCTCCTCAGCTTTTTCGCTCTCCATAATTTTTTTACAGAATTATTTATTTATCTGTGGCACAAATACAAAAAATTACTTTGCAGTAATTTGCTTATGTAATATATGTTAGGTGCAAAATCTACGAGCAACGGTTCAGAAGTACAATGTTGAAGAACCTTTTTGAGAAATCATGGTTGATGAACTCTGAGAAAATAAGTTCGTAGGAAACCATGCGTTACGTGGAGTTTATTTGTTGTAGATAGCAAAATAGAGAACATCTATTATCATCTTAAACTAGCCTTGATTTATGCTAAGTCACAATCTAAGAGATCCTAGTCACTTGAGAGGTTCTCGGCTCAAGTGACCGATGGACCCAGCTTCTGTGCGTTTGATGACGCCGATCCGAGAATCAGCGCCTTCCTTATACGCGGTGAGTAGTCCTCACAGAGGATACAGTGCCAAATCTTATGTGAGATTGGAACATGATACGTTCGAGTATCTGTCATCCGGATACCAAGAGCCAAGACATGCTTGAAAGGTTTGTTTTTAGCTAAGAGAAGTTTTGGTCTAGAATCTTCAGTGTACTGGGCACCAAGCTGGATATGTCAACAGCGGACCATCCTCAGATTGATGGTCAAACTGAGCACTTGAATTGCGTCGTTAAAGACATTCGTCGCAGCATCTGCACCGAGACGCCGAAGCGCTGGGAGCGCAATGCTACCACTCGTAGAGTTTGCTTTGAACAATGCAGTGGATTATATACCGACTACACGCTGTTCTACGTTATTGGGCTTGTTAATCCTCGCGTTACGCTGACGTCGCCACCCCATAGCTCAAGACTTGGTGGGAAAGAAGTAGCCAAACGGCAGATGTCAGCCCCCTCATTGTCCGTTAAGAAATCGATGACTGTCTGTCTACCAGACTGAGTATCCTACGACACGTTCGTGATGCGACGGCTGACATGCAAAAAGAATACGCAGATGTAAAATGCAGAAGAAATGTGGAAAACTTTGAGGTCGAAGACCTGGTTATATAAATTGCTTTAAACCTTCCTACACATGCAGTCTCTGTTGTCTTTAAGACAACGCTCCGTCCACGGTTTTTTCGTCCTTTTCAGATCGTAGCCAAGCGTATACCTTTCGAGAAGGATGCGCACCCACCCGATGTTTTATGTGGGCGTGCTTAAGACGTATTGGAATCCGGTGCAAGTGAAGCGGAAACGTTGGTGCCAAGGCGGCACCCAATGTCGACCGGCCACCCAGAATATGAACCAGCAACTGATTATGAACATGGAGTGCAATATTTTGGTCTCCAACGGCACAAGGCGCTCCACCGTCCTACAAAGCGACATATTCGTCTGCTCGACGGCTAGGACCTGCTCTGACAGAGCGCGCTGCTTCTCAACGCGATGCAGTCGGTGTACAAAGTGCTCCAGGATCTCGAGGTCTTCCGCACAGCGGTAGGCGACATCAAATAAGCCTTGATTGTTGTCTCTATCAGCGAAAAGCGCTCCGAGCTCGCTTTTTGAAACCCAAGAAATCCAAATAAATCGGTACCGCGCTCGACTTCGAGCTCAAAGAGGAGGTGTTCATGTACCCGCTGCGGGCTATTCCTGAGGGCTCGCCCCTGCACAACTGCTGCAGATGATGATGAGCTATTGAGCGATTGTTGCAGCGGTACCGGAAACTTCCCATACGGCTTACCGTACAACGAAGCCACAAGGAAGTGGACGTGCGTGTTGAGCGCCATCTTCGATTTGAGTTTGCCAAACGCAAGGCACAACGTCGTCTTCCTGCGTATTATCGCCCTGCGACACATGGAATCATCCATCTTGCTCGCGCGAGCTCTGTGATTTCTTACATGGGGATGTCCACGGCCATAGCAGCTCAGGACCATAGCTTGAGCTCAGCTCATGGCCTACGGTTTTTCGGGCTACTGCCGAGAAGCGCGGAGCGCACGACGACGCGATAAGTCATGATCCTTCTGATCATCAGCGTTTACGACGTCTGGGCAGTCTTGTCGGTGTGGTACCTCAAACTCCCACGATTTCTCGGATTTTGGGTATCCCTGCCACATCACAAGATTCTGGGTTAAGCCTTGTCGACGGCATCGACCCACAAGGCGCACCACATGGTAGTGGACGCCATCATTCTCATCTAAAATCGACGATGGAGGGAATGACGACTTGGTCGTTCGCTGTTTGGTAACTCTCTATGCTATTCGAGCGTTGGAGGACAAAGTCCGGCGTAATGAGCGCTCTACCAAGCATCCTTCCGAGCAGGCCAGCTTGTGTAGTGGCCGAAGGTCCGACTACGTAGACGCCTAACGATCGATTGATCGCGTCTTTTGCTTCAGTAACGGGATTCGCCGAGCGGAAGCCGTATTCTACAGGAGGGTCTAAGACCGAACGTGGATTCGAGGGCGTGAGCGCCACCCTGGGGGCAATTTACAACTGCTGCTCCTGGCCTCGTCGAGGCGATTAATAACCATACCACTTCCCCCGGAAGTCGGGAACAGACACGGTGTCTGCAAGGTTTGAGCTGGGCTTACGTCGCGCTGTTGGTGTACCTTAACCTTCTCGTCTTTCCATGCTGGAAAAAGTGTCACTACCTTCGTTAAGGTTAAGGTTCTAAGTACTCTTGAAGGTAGCAATTCGCTACATTTGTGCAGGTTATTGTCGGTGATCTTAGTTTAGCTTCCTCAAAGCAAAAAGCTACGGCAGCCCGTTGCAAGATGCGTCCTTAGATAGATCAACAATAACGTATATGCTTATAAAGCCTAAACGATCTGCCGAAACTAGCAGACTGATTAATTTAGCCAACTATGCGGAATGTGTTGAACGCGCTGACAACTTTTGCAGAAACACACACACTAAAGCTTCCCAGGCATACAAAGGGCCTTTTCTTGCTTTTTGTAACACCATCTCCTCATCAGAAAACGCTAACGCACGTTGAGTGTCAAAGTGGTCAGTGAGGAATGACGGTGCAAAAAGACACCCAGCGCTTGATCACGACTTGCTTCCCAACCTTTCAAAACATGGCACATGTTGCAATTCCCCCGTAATTTGTACGTATCGCAGATACCCCGCCCTTTTGATATTTAACATCTCATAATTAAGGCGATGCGCGTCCACCACGACCCATCTTATACCTACGCTAGATGTGTCTCACGAAAGAGCGATATTTGTCTCGCCATTCGCTGTATATGCTGTGGTGGTGATGACACTTTGCATGGTCTGTATCGATCACAAATGACTTAAAGCCAAGCAGATGCACCCTTATCCCCAAGAATGCATATTTTTAAGCAAGTAGCACCTTGTCGTACACAGGGCAAATCTTCTATGCCGTTCCAAACTAGCGAAACGATAACACTATGACATTGGCATCTGCTTGAGTAAAGCATAACTTTTGGCAGAGACTAAACACACAGACAACTAAGATTTGCCAACCCAGATTTATCAATTCAGAATCATGGCTTTCATTGAGATCGTTTCCATCGCCTCATTACTTTGCTTTCTCAAGTCACTCTGGGACAGAGGTTCTGGCAAATCTAAATTAGTCGCTATCGTTGTTGGACCAACCCATTCCAACGATGCCATCCAGAAAGCAGATCACGTCGGCGCCAAAATGGCACTTGTCTGAATTGATGTATATTTTATTGAAGCACATACATGTGATAAAAACTCGCAACTTTTAATGCGGTTATCTACATTCAACTTTCCGTGCTCGCACGACTTTACCAAATAGGTTTGTTCGTAGCCATGATGTGGCCAAAACCAGCTGTATCACGAGAAATTTGATCATTGCTGTTGCAATAGGCAGTCTCTGGGTCATTATTATCCACTCCCAGAGCATTCTGTTTTATAAAATTACTTTAACAAGAGAAGTAGCACTTGATATATCCAGCAACCAGGTCACGGGCACTGAACATCGTGCCATTTACAACGGTTTTCTGCAGCGAATAATTCTGAGGAATCAAAATTGTGCCCGATCAGGGGCTGTGGTGAGGTAATTGTAAGCATGTACAATATAACACTAGCCGTTAGCCTATCTGACACATAAAGTCGACGCCGAGTGAAGAGATCTTTCTTACCGAACTTTCCTCATGCTTCGCACGGAATAGAGCGTCAGTGTAGCCTTGGCAAGACCATCATCTAGTGACACTTTATTTGATATTAGGACATACGTCGATCTGAATAGCTTCCAAAATCAAGCGCAATTCCTACAACAGACCGCCTGACACCACATTGCGATGTATGATCAACAAAAGGCAAAAAAGGTCTAGAAACCAAGAAGAACATTCGTCCCATCACTAGCAAATAGTGTTTGGGTGAGTGTTTTTACTAGCGAAATCATTCATGATGACAGAAAATAGGCTCAGCTCTCATTTTAATACCCATCTTATCTCTTTGATAATGTGACCGTCTTGTGTTTCCTTGTATGCTTTTAGTTGGGGTGATTTCCTTATGCTTATGAGAGCTATCTATACCGAAGTACCGGTAGTCGAGATCCACGGCCACGTGAACTGCTAGCTGCACCGTCAAATAACATATTCATCTTGATTTGATATTACCTTGATATATAATATTCTTACTCTGAAATTAGCAGAGCAAATTAAACTTCAAGTTTCCTTCGAGGCCCGAACGAACGCAACCTCGCTGCATTTGTCAACGGTGGTTCTTTAGGTAGAGAATTTATCGATGCACATCACCCTCATCGCAGTTACTTGCACTTGCTTTGCACCAAGCAGCTCACGACACTTACAGAACGTACGTCGTTTCACACAGCGATGTCGTCACCAGAGAATGGCAAAATGATCATTCTCCATTGCCAATTATACCTTTGCATTAATTTATAAGCCAGGTTGGCTTAGTGTAGTGGTAAATGCGCTTTCACACCGCACCGACCATAGATTGTCGCATGCTCTGGTGGTGATGTCGCTAATTGATATGGCAGAGGTGAACAGCGGACGTGTCAAAATATGTAAATATTAAAAATATTGAGTGGTAAAGTGCATCAACAACAATCTTCAAGACACCATTGACAGTTTCTTTCACCTGCGTAGTAAGTGTTCGTACGCTTTTGGCGCTAATGCTCCGTTTTGAGTCTCATTCTTTAGCTAATATTACAATCTCCTGGGTATGCACATCCACCGCAGCTCACAATTAAAAAGTAGGCGAACCTCCGTGAGTTTCATGAGTGGGTTAAACTGTAGTGCTGTGCTTGCACTGACGCGAGCGGAAGCTGATAAAAAGGTGCGAGCACCGCTATAACACAGCGTCTCTTCCACGTCATTTCCTCGACATTTTCACCGGATCTCTACATTTTGAATAGAACTATAAAGTGCGATAACATTTCTTGCACACACTGTTTAGTGGCCACACCAGCGGCCTCAAGTTTGCTAGAGTTTTTATAGCAATTGTCACCTTTGACTCTATATGCTGGTTTTCTCCGCCTTTGTATGAATTGTAGTTATTACCGTCAGTAAGCCAGACAATGAGCACGCTGATAGAGGTTTTCGCGCCTCGTAGCGCTTCTTTTTTCGAATGAGGCGCTTCATCAAAAAATGGTAATTACAATTGCAACAAACTACCTTTTCTCATCGTTTGTTCCGCTTTGAAAAACTGTTTGCATCAAAGCTGCACAATTCGCGTGGTCTGTTTGTATAAAGCCTTTCCTACTGCGTGCGCTGAACGTATTTTTACCTTCTTGCCTGCAAACTTTCTTATGGCTCTTCAAACAAATGACTGCCTAAAGGCTGGGCATCACATCGGGTAGTTGCAGCACAAAATTATCAGGTTCCTTCTCATCGAGATTATATTTATATTTGCGATAAATTGCACCGACGCTGGCCGCTGCGGCATCAGGCAAAAGTCTTCTATTGTCTACATACTGAAGAAGACCTGATGTATCCACAAGGCTGTGATTTTCGAGTATTAGCAGAAGTAAATGTTGCTTGCTCGTCTTGTATGGAAAACGATGCAGTCAGAACAGAAAAATATCTTTCTTGCTGCAAATACTTGCCTATGCACAATTTACAGTCGCAATGTAGAGATTGAATGTAAACAATAGTGAAGGCAGAATCATAAGTTTGATGATCTGTTTGAGAATTTAAGTGTTGCACTACACGGCAGTTCAGGTACAATAATCTTTGTATGTGGGTTAAATTGGCATATTACTTTCTTTACGCTCAATTAAAAAGGCGCGGTAGATGGTCACGCACGTCGTTTACGTCCTGGATTGTAGTAAGAAAAGTTAAGATCGACTCGAGCTCACAATCATCTCTATCGTCAAAAAAACTTGAGCAACCAATGGCATTTTGCGGGTGAAAAGTGTAAGCCATTGGTGTATCGTCGACAATAATTGTCTGCGAAATGTCACGATCGAGTAGCGAAAGATCCTTGACATAGCTGCCTTCATACTGAACACAGTGTTCACGATAGAGACGATAGCGAATAACTCCTTCAGCGTCTAGCTTATCCAGCAGTGGGTCTGCATACTTGCTTAAACTGGCCGTGTACACCACAATTTCGTAAATCTTCGACATTGTATTCAGAAACTCCTCGACTCCAGGCCGTTTACACACATACACTTGATCAAGGTCGTAGGAAATTATGAAGTCCGGGTTAGATATCGGTTCAAATGACGAATGCACCAAAGTTTCGTCAAGGTCAAGCACTAAGCACTTCTTGCTTAGGTCTTCTGGTGATTGAGGAGGCATAATGCTCATGCGCAACTCAATCGTAGTTCCTATTGTTTTTGCTTTGTGCTTTGTTGGTGTCGGTCGTTGAATTTGTTCTTTGACTACAAGAGCTGACCAAATGCCTTCAAACAGATTGCAAACGCCCTTCACTTGAAATAGATCTTTCTTGGAATTTTCTACGGCCTCCTGTTTGTATGGAAAGCTGCTTACCGTCCTTGTCTGTTTGGTGAATGATATGGGAAAGTGGACTAGTGAAGTTGAGATTTGCAAGTGGCTTTGGTTGGGAAGACATGGTCATGTCATCTGTGTTTCGGCGCGAAAATGCAGCGTTATGTAGCAGACGACTACTCGTTTTGGTAGCATTAGGCTTCGGACTCACGTTTACAACCGTCTGTTGGTTTTCTTGTTTATTTTGCATGGGCGAGTACCAGTGATAGCGAGCTGCCCAAAAAGAGAATAATTGAGCGACAGCGAATCCAACACACCAGTATTTTCCTTCATAGTTGGTCGGCAGCCCACTCCACTACCCGTTCCACCCCATACCGAATTCTTTGTCAACGATTTATTTTTCGATTCTTCTTAATCTGAGCAGACATATGTCGAATTCCACAGCAAAGATAGGGCAAATTGGTACTGAGGTGTGTTCGGTGCTTCCTTCATTATTGCAATAATTCACGCATAATCATATCAGCCAATTCAGTTCGTGCAAATAAACTTCACGGTTAGTGACTGAGTCTATGAAGGGTTTGTTCAAGGAAGACTTTGACATGCTTTCAAACTGAATATAATATTAAAATCGATGATTTGTCAATATCGTTTCTGCTTTGTAATAAGGCGCAATCGCGTAAGAAACCGCAGTCCATTATTATGTGTAGATGAATAAAAATAAGAGTTCGATGTGCTTTGATCATATTCTCTTTCTGGGTTGTATCGACGCTAGGATACTAAAGACAATACTATATATTCATGTTCGTTCATGCTGTTACTTGTCAACAGCCACCCAAGAAATCTAAAATCAGTAGATGCGACCGCTGGAATCTGGCAATTGGCGAAACTTATCGTAACGCATGACACCAATGACATACGACGTTGATTTCGCTGCGTTGGGACTTACGAAGGAGCAATTTGAGGCCTTCAAGACCGCTTTTTCTTCTCTTGACAAAACTCACCGTGGTGTCATCTCAACTAGACAGTTGGGGGCGCTCTGCTCCCAATTAGGTGAGACGCTTGATGACGAAGAACTAGCTGTCGCTACTGCAAGTCTTACCGATTCACAATCAGGTCTTATACACTTCACGACTTTCTTGCCATGGTGGACCAAAGAGTAATGGTAGAAATACGAGCTGTCGTTGAGAAAATAGCAATAACTCTGATCTAAAATCCCACGTTATTTGCATTTGATTTTAGCTTGAGCTAGTGCGACAGCCTTGCGAACATTTAATGCTCGAGTGATAAGCTCACGTCGCTTGGCGCTCGAACGAAATAGTACATAGCGTCCATGCAGCCGTCGTATGTTCTCGGGAACATCCGTGAGGTCAGGATTTCCGCTTAGATCTACAGCTCGTAACTTTGGCATAAATTCTGCCACTGACAAAGCGACCTTTTTCAGTCGATTGTCTGCTAGCAACAATACCTGTAAGTTGCTCACTTTGGCAGCCGTGAATTCTCCATTACTATCATCGAAAGTTATCTGCTGAATGAGATTTCCCCTTGCGTCAAATTCCTCGAGTACATCAAGTTCTATGAACAATCCAGCAGGAACCTCTCGAATGCAATTGTGCGCAATATTAAGACGCTGCAGGTTGCGTAAAGCGCTAATGGAAACATAAGACAAAGATTCGAGTGCATTTTCGCTGGCATTCAAAACGACAAGCCCTGGAAATGCGCGGGCTAGACCTTCCGGAAGCACCCGAAGGGCATTTCGACGAATGTTAAGATGACGTAGATGTGGGAACCTGCGATTGAGATCTTCAAGAGGCGGCATTTCAACAAGCTCGAGAGATGACAAGTCGAGTAATTTGCCATCCGAGAGAGCAAATCGTTGCTCTAATGCAGCTGGATCTATAGCTGAAGTGCGCTGCTTGGCTCCGGTCGGTAAAATTGATGTTGACAGGGTATTCTCTTTGACGTCCGAAGTCTTTGCTTCCATCGTAAGGGTCTGCATTGCACATTAGGCACAACTTGACAGTTTGAATCGTTGAGTATTTTTGGAGAACACCTAGAGCGTTTTTCGGAAACGTAAGAGTTTAAACGAGCTATACTGCATTTTGCTTTGTAACTGCTCAATATACCCAAGAGAGCGGTACAGATGCTGAGCACCTTCCATCGTACCAATGGTATCAAGGCAAATCTCGTCGAAAGCACCACAAGATACTGCAAAGGCTTCAGCGTATTTCACCAAAGCTGAAGCCACTCCACGACGTCGAACTGCACTTGAAACACTTAGTCGGCAGAGTTCAGCAGCGCGTTGGTCGCCCGCGATGGGCTTTAGACCGACACACCCTACAATTGCGCCGCTTAGTTCAGCTACCCAAAAACCACTATTGGAAATTCCAGTGCTGGCGGGGATTTGAAAGGCTCGGTGCACATCATACATATCTCCGACAGGTCCACGAAGTCGTTTTACGACAAACTCGCGCACAGCGCGTGAGTTTCTTGCGAATTCAAGGTGGGTATTTTCAAACAGCGAGCGCACAGCAGCCAAATCTTCATTTTGGAAAGTTCGAATAATCACGGGTTGAGATTCTTGCTGCTGTAGTACGCAAGTACTAGTCAGTAGGTAGCGGTGTTGATATGCACGAGACACAAATTGACTTGTCCACTCGCCGTCGTTCTCGCTTAGGCGTTTGTTGTTGTCTGCAAGATAAATTGCGTAATGAGCATTACATAGAACCCAGTCAGCATACTCGTCGAAAGGTTCCAGAGATGCTATTCTGCGCTTCTCTTCTACACTTGTGCAAGCCGCAAAAACACTGTTCATGTCTAAGATACGACAATTGTGCCAATGCGCAAAGGCCAGAAATCGCCGCGCGTGATCCGCTGCTGTTCTATATCCCGTTGCTCCACGTAGCGAACAACCTTTGACAGCAAAGTAACGCTGCAGCGTCGAAGAAAATGCGTCAGACCCTTCTATGGTCTCACGGTCGCTTTGCTCATTGTTTTTTTCGCTACCACCTTGAAGTGCAATCGGGTCATACACTGCGATGGAGCCGCTAGGGAATGTTGCTGCAAGCCATTGAAGTAGCTCTGTGCCTTTCTCCGGAGCCAAATATGACTACCAAAGAATACAAGATGGTTAGGAAAGGCACACAACGAGACTTGGTACACAAGAGACAAGTACATTACCAAGACGCATTCGGCAAGAATGAGTGTCGGCAAGTTTCGATCTACACCAGCGGTTTTGAATGAAGAATTGAGTCGCTGAATGTCCCCAAGATCGCAAGCAATGAGCGAGTACGTTGCACATGATACATGGCACTGCCAAGCCACGTTGTCCTCCATCGATTCAGCAACGGTCAAGTCGTTAGCGTATTTTTGAAATAGTTGTGCACGAACTTGTTTGTCGTTCAGCAATACTTTTTTGGCGTCTACAATGGCGTTGCAATCTACTTCAGTGAACGAGATACTGCCAGTAAATTGTCGTTGCGCTAGCAGACGGAAGAACAACGTGTCAAATCCAGCTCCCAACGACACGATGTTGATTCGGGTTGACATTTTATCTGGCATGGATAATCTCATTAAAACATCAGCATGTGTATGAAGACTTAGCACAACTAATAGAGCATACACTGTGAGAAAAATAGCTCAACGCAACGTGCTATCGCTACATGCCGAAGGTAATAACCACGATGGATCTACATCACAGACATGAATTTTATTAGTATGACGATACTTTGTATCAAGTGATAGCATGTCAAAGTTTACGAGAGGTATGCGTCGCGTGGGTTTCTCGACAAAGAAGCGAAGAAATGAATCATTGTAGTAGCCAAGTGTCACTGCAGAGCTATAAAGAATGGAATAATAGAAATACTTAGGATTTAAGCTTCATAGCTGTCAGACGCTTTCAGATACGGTTAAGCGCTCGTAAAGTAAGAAAATTTTGTCGTGAGTATCTTACGCTTTGCATTTGATGGCGTCGAAGGCCGTCTCGGTGACGTTGTGATCACTCGTTCCTTGCGTCATGATCAAAGTTTTAGTTATATACAAGTTTAATATATAAAGAAATACTAAATTTGTAAATTTTAGTATTATAATCCAATTTGGCTAAAGTTTACAAACAAAATAACACAATATATCAATAACAATAAGAAACGAGGTACGAAAAAGTCAGAATAACTAGTACACAATTCACACTATCGGTCGCTTTCGCAGGTCTATAATTGTGTGGGTATGAACCGCTACTAAAGGCACCAAGTGGAATCGACAATCGTTTGTGAAGCGAGCGCTTTACCACTAAGCTATGGCACCATGAGGGTTAGAAATATCTATTGTGTGAAGTGCACCACAGGGTAGTTTATTACGGCAATACTTTTCAAATGTATTTTACACAAAAAGCTTTGAGTATTTTTTATGAAAGTTTAGAAATGGAGTATTTTTTTGTATTCCCTTTAATATAACGCAAACTGCACTATTGCTTAGTTATTTCGTATCAATAGTCTGACGTAAACTATTTGGCTAAGATTTTTATTTGCAGCTACATTCCTTTCACATCAACTTCTTAAGACTTTGATAGAAAGCATCTGATAAATTACACACCAACATTTGTCTTTACTCTATACACGTACTTGCATATTACAGTTTGCTGAACGATTTGTACACGTGTCCTTTTTATTCGAAATAGGGCTTTATTGGTGAATGATATGTCCTAATACAACCCTTGCGTACCTTATTCATGCAAAATTACAGGCTGCTTAACATAATTCCTAACAGATTAAGTCAAGTACTGAAGTAGTGTTACTTCCATCGCCATTCCGTCACGACCGACACGGTAGTAGTGGTATCGCAGTGGATTGCCACACCGCACTTGTCCTGCTGCCCTTCCTCGCGCGACCGCATTACGTGCAACAACATGACAAGCTTGCGGCGCTCAGACGGAGACGACGTAGCGCATAGTACGTCTTCCACCACCCGTGCAACCACTGCAACGACCTCCGACATGTTGAGTACGCTTTCCGCACCACCTATGCTCGCGTCTGATAACAGCAGTGGCGTCCTGCTGCTGGGAAAACTCATGCGTCGTGACCGCCGTCTGTTCACGTGGAAGTGGCGAGACTTTGTGCTTGAGCGTTCGCGACTTCAATACTTTAGTCGCAAAGGAAACCGCAAGGGTGACATTCCGCTCACACCGCACACACCTATCACTATTCGTATGTGCAACGAGCCCAAACCGTTTGGCTTCTTACTCTTTATCAATGATACAAAACTCACGTTGGCTGCTGCCACTGAACGAGAGAGACACCGATGGATCGACGTCTTCTGCGACGTTTTCCACGCCAGTGTAGAGCAGACGCCAGCCGATAACAAGGCCGAACGACGGGCAAGGCCTACGTACTTGCCCATTCCAGACCTAGGAGACGATGGAATGGATCATAACAGTAGCGCTAGTAACATACTTGCACATCAAAGCACTGCCTTGGATAATTTAGACGCTGGAGACGGAGGTCACTCAACTCCCGTTATGGCTCACAATCTTCTAGATAACGACCAAGAAAACAATTTAAGGCGTCACTCGTTCAATGAAGATGTGATCCCGATTTTAGAGTCAAGAATGACATACGGACCAATCAAAGAAATGTACTCACGAATAACGTTCCCACCAAGTTTAGCGAACGGGGACTTATTAGTTGGGGTGGGGCCAATTGTACGACGTATGGGCTGGACGGACGAACGAATTTTGGCTGTTGGTATGTACATTGAACCCGAAACAGCAACACGAGAGCTTGACAAATTTCATGGTCGCGATGCCAAGAGTTTGTACGGAGACCATCAATTTTACGACCATCTTCTCTCCCATACGACGTTCCGACGTAGCTTTGTCGTTACTGCGCGAAAGCGTGTGTCCAAATCAGTGCTCACAGCGTTGCTTCGAGATGAATTGAGCCCTCGTTTGGGAGCAAACGCAACAGCTTTGCATACCTTTCTCGGGTTAATCGAAAAGTCGTTAAAAAAAGCCGAATCAATGGTCATGCGAATTCACGAGGATGGTCGCTTTGAGTACCGACTGCGAGGTCAACTGTACCCCCCGATTGCATCGCATAGTCTCTGCAACAGCATTCAAGCAATATTTTTCGAAAATAATTCGATTCAGCACGACGCCAAACGGGGGCTTGTGGAGCGCTTGCCTTCTCTTTGGGGTGGGGAAGTACTTGATGTACAAGACGAAATTTTTGGTAGTGTGCGTGAACCGAAATTGAGTATGGATAGCGACGATAACGAAGACTCCGACTCGGATGATTTTGAAGACGATAGCGAGGCAGAAGATCTTTTTGGTGCTGCGGAAGATGAGACCGATCGTACGTCCCAGGAAGAAGAACGAGAAAAGATAGAGCAAGCGCATTATCAACAGGACGGAGATCCCGTTACGACCAAATTACGTACAAGCAGTCGATCTAGAAGACACAGTCGCGTCAGCTCCTCGAAGAAAAATGGCAAACCTTCTACCAAAGATGAATGGGCAGACTATGATGACGAAGAACTGGAAGTAATGCGTCGCGAAAGTTGTAGCCTCGTCGTGCATTTTGGTCCTATTGTAGACCGTCAAAGTAACGTCATGTTCAGCGGCGACTTGGCTGCTGATGGCAGTGCATTGTTAGGTACATGGTCTCATGAGTTTTCAGTGCCGCTAGAAGAGCTCGATCAACCAAGTGGCTTTTGTCAGCATCGATTCTCAGTGGGTTTGTACGTTGATCCAAGTGCAATTAGTGAAAGTCTACTCAAGTACAAAGGGCTCTCTATTGGTAGCATTGTTCAAGATGCCGACTACTTTCGCCAATTCTCGCAAGGGAAGTTTCAAAAGCATTTGATTTTCAAGGTGAACGCCGATATGAAGTTTAATGTCTTACTCGAATATTTCAGCACACGCCTTCGTTCATTAATGTCTTCGTTTGAGGATATGAAGCATCCGGTTGAAAGCTTAGTGGATCTCTGGAATCACGCATACCCACAGCAACAGCAGCTTGAGTTGTGCCCAAGAGATGAAGTTCGCATATCGATTTCTGCCGATAAAAAAGTGGTTTTGCGAGTAAAAAAGCGTGGCATTATCAAGGATGATAAAAAGTCGTCCAATTCTGTCTCTTCCACTACCCTGTCGTCGTCTCTAGGCGACGAAAATACTATGCCTGGCGTTGGGAGTAATAATTTTGCAGCCACGTCAATCTCTCAAGCGGGTTCATGGGGCGAGATCAGTCCTCACAGCAACGATCCTCGTCCAAATATCGAGATGGAGCTTATGCTGCCTCCTCCTCCTTTTTACTTGGCTTTAGAAAGCTTGTTTTTCGGATTCAATGCAATTGACCCAACAGCGCGGACTCAGCTTATGGAACGCATTCCAAATCTTCTCGACCTCGCTCGAGATGATCTCGTGCACACATACCATGACGAAATTCAAGCTTTGCGAGAGAACTACAAGCGTCAAAAGCCAGAGAATCGCGTGAAAGTAGGTTATCTTTCAATTTCGTTTGATAAACGCAAGTTGCAACGGAATGCAGACAAAGGAGGTGCCAAGCTAGTCACTGTTGTGCCATCGCGCTGGTCGAAACGCTGGTGCCGACTGGATGGAACACTCTTTTCCTACTACTCCCACAAACGATCTCGTAAATACCGTGATATGATGGAACTCACCCGATGTGAAGTCGTTGAGATTACTGCAAATAGCGGTCCGGACGTTGCTCGATTTGCTTGGGAAAAAGGAGAGAACGACAGCATTCGAATCGCAATCATCAAACCAAATGGCGAAATTCTAGCCTTACGCACTGAGACAATTTATGAGGGGGAAGAATGGTTGGAATCTCTGACGGATGCCAGCAAAGTGCGACGTCAGGCGGGACCGACTGATAATCGGACGACGTGGGATGCAAACTCTTCCAAGCTTCAACGACGTAGCAGCAGCAACCATGACCAGCGACCTGATCGAGGTCCAAGAAGTGAATCCGCGGGAGCGGATCACACTGAACGGCGCTCGAGCGTTGAAAAATGCGTTAAGATGGCAGCATTAAATGATAACGACGAAGATGGAGACGATTACGACAGTGACGATGAGCATTATGAAAAGGAAGGCTCACTGCTCGCTTGGGTACGAGAAGACACACGCCACGGTGTTATTGCCTTCTTGATAGTACTCATCGTGTACCTCGCTTCTGTCATGCATCGAAGTCACTCTGTCTACATTGAGCGTCCTGAAGTTACTGACTAAAATTAAAAAGCCCGACGAGCACAAGTGTTGTAAATGAATGTCGATCCTCTAAAAAAATCATTTTTCATTGTCATAGCTGATAAAAATCTCGTTCACAGATTAAGCAAAATATTGCGGCTGATTGTACGAAGCTTGACGCTGGGCGTCGTGCGTCGCGTAGTGCACGTGACCTCCCCATAGTGCATCTTTTCCAAGTTTTGGAAGTTGTCTGACGGAAGTTTCGGACTTTCGATGATCTGGGAATCGTCGTTCCCACAAACTCGAGTTATTGCTCATTGCGCCGTCCAGTTGCTGACCACCTTGACAAGATAAACCAGCAGCTTGCCCTTCAAAAGGTTGCAATATCTCGTTGAAAGCCTCGGGAGATGCCGAAAAGTCAAAGGCGTTAAAAGTGGCGTGCATCTCGTCGTTGTCGCTGAACTGGTTGCTCACCGGAATTTGTTGCTGCTGACGTCGACACCTGGCGGACATCTTACGAGCGCGTCCGTCATCAACATCAAAGTCTTTAGTTTGATTAAGCGCTGAGTCTGGTTGTATACCACGACAAATGCGGCGATGATGAGCACGGTATTGCTCAATCTCGCTCACTTCTTTACTATGCTGGGATGCCTCATATGCGTAAAAGTTGAACATCTAGCTTTGAAACTTATTTTAAATGTGATGAATTAATGACGTCAGATAATGTGGTCGCTGTTCTGTGCATGTGTGGCCGGATTCGGTTGAAAACGGCCACGCTGAGACTTTCTCGATTCAGGTGTGAGCTATTGGATCTTATATGTTTACAACACAACAGTATAGGCATACAATATAATGATGATATGAGAAAAGCGAAACGGAACAATAACGTAATTCTATAGCAGTTTTCTCCCTTGTTATCCGAGTGAATTTCGCTTTTCCGTTATACTCACACGCCTCTTTTAGGGGGTTAGAGAGCGAAAGCTTTAGACAAAGCACATAGTGTATGGAATTAAAAAATGATACATGATATATATGCTTTATTTGCGATCAAAGTCTAACCACACACTAATCCTAGTGAATGAACGTTGATCGTACACCTTTACTTCATCACTGTACTTCTGAGCTTCGCAATGAGTACGTAAACCATAACAGGATACATACCCCATTTCCACAAAAACAACGTATCACAAACCATCTGGTCGCAGATCTCCCTGTTCACAGATCACCAGCTTCGGCCGCAGACCATCGTGGTCTCGAGGCATGATATAAACATACCTGGGTGTGATCTCTAAGAGCAACCATAGCGCAGAGAATTTCTTCCAGCTGAAACTTCTAGTGCAAGCTCTATGAGCATCCGAGGCGCCAATAATCCCTCTCTGGATTGTTATTTGAACGCATGACGGTTGAAGACTGTCAACTGCAGCAGAAAAATTCCACAATAATATTTCGAATGACTCAACAAACCACCAACAAATAGCAGGTGGCCATCATCGTGAGAGCCGCAAACAATTAGCGACATTCATTAATGCAGCGGGGCTGCTGTAGCTCTTTTGCTTAGAAAAATCTAAGCAAAACTCGACGACCTTACGTTCTATACAAGAACCAGTACGAGTGTAGCAGATCGCAATCCACTTACTCCAAGAGTAACCACAACCTTAACCTAGGGCAAATTAACTCTTCCGTACCATATGAAAGCTGTATTTGTTGGTTTTACGGCAAAGCCGCCTATATCTAATTCTATGAAATTTTCTAGCAAATTGTAAGAACCTAATTAAAATGCATAACTACTTGTGACTTCTTGTCAATGTGTAGCCACACCATTGTGTGGTCACTCCATTTTTTGGACCCACCGGGTACGTGTAACCCCGTTGCAATTAAAACATACTGAGTGAGTTGCTATCAGATGTGTTGAAGCGACTCATCGAGTTCCAATGCATGCACTTTCCGCTAGCGAATGGAGCCAGGCTATTCCAAGTTCAAGATTTGGGCGGTAGCTGTACGAGCAAGCTCAAGGGTATGGGTATGCTGTTGATGGCAAGAGTGGGTAAAGGGAGTGCTCGCTTCAATTTCGCGATCTGTACTCTGCAAAACCAAACATAAAGCGACGTTCTTATCAGGCCGCAATTTCATTTTCACTTGCTTGGAAAGCTATAGTCGCGGCGTATCATCGTGAGCGACTTAATTAAGGTTGTATTGACTCATGTGCTTATCTACAGGCAATTCAAGCTCTTTGAGATAGACCAAGCTGCTTGTTAATGGAAGCGACGGTACCGGCAATCCGTAGTGAAGTGTCTGTATCCACCTAATATGGGTTGTCGATATGCTCGCGGTGCGTGAGGCTCACATAAAGGAAAGGATGCACACTGCGAACGTTAAAGCATCGTCTTCAATCGATGCTGAGTGGCAAAACTGTTCAGTCTTTGGAAAAGGCCGAGGTGATGTACAACCCGGTCTCTCACACTGGATAAGAAAAGATAGAGTGATTTACAAGTATCTAGCGTTTGAGATGCCAGGGCAATCCTTTCAAAGTAAAATCATAAACTCCTAATAATTCTTGAAGTGGGGTGACGTGTCCACTCCACCAAATATTGGTTATACCCCTTGGAATACACCAACCCAAACTCTGTTTTATGTGGGGTGGTCTTCACCTTGCACATCGAGCAGAGAAAACCTCATATGGCTAATTCCCATGAACGGTGAATAGTGTGGCAACCCATTGACTTCCTTCCATGATCTTAGTAATCGACCGAATTTGGGCGATCGATATCTCTAAATCACGCCCCGGAGCTGCTTAATCGGATCGGTCAACCCGAGCGATTCGAAACTGGATTGATGTTCGAGAGCAGTTACATGAGTATTTTAAAGAGCTGCTTCAGCTTCACCAGTACGCCCTGTAATCGATACTGGTCAACTTGCTGATATTAGCCGGGCTACATTTCGTAGCAGAAGCGACACTTTCGCACAGAACACCATGTGTCAGGTGCACGATGCTATGGCTGACAGCCAGAAACGCAAAAAACATCATGCAGATAATAGAACACCAAAATATTGCTGTTAAAACACAGCAGTTATTAAACCTATTAATCAACCTACACATGCAGTATTCGTCACTAAAATTGAGTAGCGCTCTACGTTAAGCCCGCTGCGTTCGTAGCTTTAACTTTGAGCTAATTTCAATACTACCAAGAAATACAAAAATAATCCTGTGTTTTACGTGGGCTTACTCGAGCCATATAATGACTCCAGTCTGATGATCCTCTCGGGTTGCGGAACATGCTGTCGACATTGTGAAATCCACGCCGATCCTTCTAGCCGAGCTACATTCTGTTTTCAAGCAGCATCCGGTATTAAACCGCTCGAGATACTTGGCGATAATCGATGCGCATTCGCGAGCGTGTCTGAAGGAAGCCCCACGACGATATTCTTGAACGCCTATTATATGTTTTAACGTGGAGGAACCATCCTTCAATTCTGCTCCATGAGCAAGGTGAAGGCCGATTTTATGTGGAAAATACTGGGGATCGACGTGATCACCCGATTTTAAGCAATATATGGTGTAGCGATAAGGTATATTCTCATGACAAGAACTCTTCGGGGTCACATTTCGGTACTGGAGTTATTGTATGTACGACAGCAGGAACGGCTAACCCGTGTGAGATGAGCTGGGGGATGTAAGTATCAGGATTTGGTAGCGATGGGGCTTCACCCTGCCGTCCACGTCGTGCATTGTACTTGGCTAAGTCAAACATTGTCGACGCTGTAGACGGTCTGAATCGTAAGGTTTCTGGATAGGTAGGACAATGAGGTATTTTCATTCAGTAGATGATATGATTTTGATACTCATCGGTGCTCTCACCAGCTTCAAATACTTCTACATACCGTATAAGCTTACGGATACTGCCAACCGCTGCTGCTCGGAGTGCAGACGATACCCCTGGGAGAATGTACCTGTGGTTTGATAATGAAGTGTTTTTCTCACGGTATGTGCAAAGCCACGCACGCAAGGGCGTGTTAATTCTACGCACCAGCGCGGCGAAAGACTTTGGACGGCTCGAAAACGCCATGTTATCGCGGCGTGATGATTTAAGCGTGAGTCGGTGTGGCTTTTACACTTGCGGTAAAAAAGGATGAGCTCCTTGAGCCATATCAAGCTTGTCCATGATGAGCCGGACATTGTCGCGCGTTCCAGAGTTGAGGTCATAGACTTCACGCCGATAAGGTTCCGGGTACTTTTGGAGAAAGCGGATTGCGATCCGCTACACTCGTACTGGTTCTAGTATAGTAAAAAGGTCGTTGACCTTAAGTAAGTTTCTTCTGAGCAAAGAGCTACGGCAGCCCCGTTGCACTTGGTAGCACTTGTATCCAATCTACACGTGTGTCGTTACGACTGATCCTCTGTGAGGATGGAGCAACTTTCCTATTTGAACCAGGACAAGGCAGGATGGGCTTAATAAGCTGGTGTCCCTGCTGGGCCCTGAGGGCGTGCAACACCTTGCTTCTCAAGGACCCGAAGCGATAAGCGCGCGCCTAGAGGCGTTTTTGAAATATGAAAGTGCTCTGCTAGAGCATCTAGAGAAGGAGATGTCGGCATCGACTGCGTCCATGACGCCACCGTCGACGACGAGTGACACCTTCCGACCCAGGCCGCTAATGGTGAGCATGAAGACCTGCGAGAGTAGTAATGAAAAGAACCTCCTGCTCTAGGTGAGAGATATCGAGATGGCTATGGCATCCGCCAAGCTCCAGAACGAGCAACAGTGCGTGGCGCTAGCTATCTCCAAGCTCGGTGGTCGAGCGCGAGAATGGGCACTGACGTGTGCTCTTCGGTCGAAGTGGCGTTTTCGTCCTGGACGAAGCTGAAGCTGAAGCATTCACTAGCATGTCGCGTGAGGTCGCTTTTCCTTACCGCCCGACAGGGCAAGAAGAAATTAAGGGACTTTGTCCAAGAGTTGCGTACTCTCATTGCCGGGATCACAACCGATCCTATTTCCGAGGTGGTCACAGTGATCGTTTTTATGGAGGGCCTCTGCACTGGCGTGGCCAGAATGGAAGTCTTCCGTTGCATCCGTCTTCTTTTGAAGAAGCAGTGAATGGGGCATTGAATGCCGAATTCAATTTTATGTTGGCACGACTTGGAGGAGATTCACACCCTCAGAGCTCGTTGAGCGGGCCTGAGCCGATGGATCACAGCTATGCTGAGATAGGGGAAGAACCGATTTCTGTTGAGCCTCAAAGAGATAGCGGGTAGCTCGACCCAACCCCGAAGAGCTCCGTGCTCTTAATCACGGAACGTGTATGCAAGCCGGGCTCGCTGGTTGTAAAAGAGACCGTGAAGGGCTTTGAGAAGCCATTGAAGATCCTGATTGATTCCGGGGCGTCGGGTAGTTATGCTCGACACTCCAGGATAGAAGGAAGTCTGCTGTATGCTGAAGCGCTGGAAGCGCGGTTGAGTGACATCATCACTGTTCGCTTAGCGACGGGAGCATGTGTCACGGTGCCGAGGGTTTCTGTGGACCTCGGTGTCACGTTTCTTGACTTTGATAGCGTGAAACGCTGCTTAGTCTTAGACTTGGATGCAGGGTATGACCTTATCCTTGGTATGGCATGGTTGGAATACCATGAGCCATGGGTTGATTGGAGGTCGAATACCTTGGGCGCTACGCGCACGTCTCCTG